TTTGAACAAGCAATATCTGGAACGTTTTTGGAATTGGGTCAAGTTCAACAATGCCTGGGTCAAAGAAGGGACAGAGTGTCTTGGATGCAAACAGGAAAGTAAGTCATGGTGACTTGTCTGTTACTTGTAACGATGTGTCTGATGTTAAGCATGACATGGTTGATGTTACTGTTTCGCCGTTCAGGGATAATAGGAACATCAAACTCCCTAAATTTGAACCACGGTGTTTTGATGGAAACCCGGCCGATTATTTACAATTTGTAAAGGAGTTTGAGATCATGTTGAGTGGTTTTTTATTAAATGATGAATTGAAGTTAATGTATTTGATGAGATATTGCACTGGAGATGCTGCAAGAGCTATACAGTGCTGTAAGTTTATGAAGCCAAAAGAGGGCTACGATGAGGCTATGAGCATATTACGTCAAAGGTTTGGAAGACCTTCGATGATTGCAGGGAAATTATTCGAGGCTGTTAAGGGTAATGGTGGTCAATTACAGGATGACTCCCAGGCACTCACTGAGTTTTTAGATAATTTGCTAATTTACAAGAATGGAATGATTTCGATGAATCGCATGAGTGACCTCAACTCGAGTTTTATACTAGAAGTAATAGCAAGACGTCTACCTACTCGACTGCAAAGGAAGTGGGTGAAGATAAGCTCCCGTATGGAGGATGAGGGTATCGAGCCAAAGTTTGATGATATCCTGAAACTGGTAAATACTAGTGTCAATCAATCTATGAGCAAGTTCGCCAGTCTATTACATCTCACCCCTAGAATAGAGCAGTCTGAGAGCGAAATGCAATCATTGATGACGAGTAGGCCTCAGAGCGATGGATATCGAGAAGGCTCCATGATGTCTAGTAATGCATATAGACCTAGTGAGTGTAACAGGTTTCGTAGTACATCCTCAACAGATAAGTTGCAAGATGCAAGACAAACACGGTTGCGTTTTACACGTTTTCAAGAGGTGCATACAAAAGTGAACTGTGAACCGGTGAGCAAGTTCAGTGATAAGCTAAATGTAAACTCCAGGTCTGACTCCGAATTGTGTGACGATAACGGTTTTGTGAAGAAGTCTGTAGTTGCAACTGGTAAGCCATTGTTGAATAGAGTGTCACAGAATAGAGTTATTGCTTCAGAGTGCAGTTCTGACTCCACAAGTTTACAAAGTATAACTAGTCAGAGTGAAGATATAAAACCTTTAATGATTTGCGAGGAGGAACCAAAATTGTCTACTGCTGTTATTAAAGAGTTTGAAAATGATGAAGTTGACGGTAAAGTGAATATTCGTGATAATGATCATGATACTTCACAGTTGTCTTTGGTTGATCATGATGAGATGAGGGATATGCCTACTACTGCTAAGTTAAATAAAGGTTCTGTACAACTACAACGTGAAGTAGAATTGAACGCAGATGCAGTTCCAAAAGGTGTGCATACTTGTGAGACCGTCAGTGTAATTGATCAGCGTGTAGCCCACCTATCATCAGATGATAGTGCTAAACCCGAACTAGTAGTGAAAGACAGCAGTGGTGGTAATCTTGCAGTTGGACAACTATCTGAAAGCCGAACAAGAACAGCTTCTGATCCACCGCTAAGTTCATCACCTTGTGTCACTCAGTCATCGTTGGTGTTTTCATCCACAATGAAACAGATGCCCATCAACTCAAGTATCTTCTGCAATGACTATGATAGTATTGGTGCGTTTGAAAGGACGAAAGATATTGCTCAGTTTAGTGAGGATAAGCCAAGTGTAAACGAGAGAGTAATTGTTAAATTGACTTGCATGAATAAAGGCATTTCTAGTTTCAAGTTACTATTTGAATGTTATTATCTTTGGTGTAAATTACTCTGTTTCTACACTTGGTTGATGAGATATGTCGTGTGTTTGTTCGTCATCTATATTCTACGATACAATGACATGGGCGTGTTGCCGTTCAGATTTGAGGATATAGCTCATAGAAGGAAGTCAGCAAATGAACTCTGCGACGATTTTCCAACCTAGGGCGTCAACCTGAGAAGGGTTGTAGGCGTACTGCTGTAAGTCCTACAGTTCTTCAAAGGGTAGCGCATCAATGAGCAGTCCAATGTGCTTGGTGTATGATCTTGTACATATGTTCATATTGTATATACTGAATTGATATCATCTGTCATCTAGCTGTTGGTAATTCTGTTTGTGTCCGGACGACTTCCACTTGTATCATCAACCTGAGAAGGAATGTAGGCGTACTGCTGTAAGTCCTACAGTTCTTCAAGGGTAGTTTGTCGTGCCAGAATCCACAACATTTGATGTGTTGATTGTACATATGTTTGTGTTAAATAGTTGTGTGAGTTCCAATTGATGTAATTGTTGGTTAATCTTGTTTGTGTCCGGACATTCCACAAATTACAATCGTCAACCTGAGAAGGGTTGTAGGCGTACTGGTGTAAGTCCTGCAATTCTTCAAAGGAATTCCATCAAGACATGATCGGCGAGGTTGTTTGTACTATTTGTATATACGTGTGGTGTGTCATAGCAATTGGTGTATTTTGGATTCATTGTGTTTACTTGTTGTTTTCGTATCTTGTTGTTATTGCGTAATTTTGTTAAAATTTTCGTCGTGATTACTTCTGAAGTTGTTTCGAGTCTTCTACATCCATGAATGAATTGATTGATGTTAAGGACAGCAGATGGGTCGTATACGCCGGGGAGGCTAGGCTATTGCTGAGAATGAAATGCACACGGAGATAATTGTTAGCTGCGGTCCGACACGCCGGGGAGAAAGAGTGTAAACGACTGAGGCTCGCATGCGTCACCGCTACTAGAACTGAGGCAGAATGAGTGACAAGCGATTTCAGTGGTAATTGGTAATGAGTAGATAAGAGGATGTGCGTAGAGTATCGTGAGGTGCTGCCATGGTCACTTTGCATTCTGCAAGAGTCATTCTAGCAAGTGGCGATTGTGTTGCAAGATGTCAAGAGGAGGTCTCTGTCTGGAGGCGCAGGTCGTCATTGATGTGTGAGATTGTGCTGTGGGTATGCTTGTGGTGTGTTGGCTTTTCTGTTTGTTTTCCATTTCAGCTCTGTCCGTGTGACCCAGGTTCTCGCAATGGCATCCAAGTCAACGTGTATTGGTCGTGAAGGAAAAAAGGGTTGGATCCCTTTTTTGCCGGGGAGTGTCAATGGAGTTGAAGATTGAACGATCAATTCTTGGTTGTTTGCTCAAAATCAACTTCCCCAATTTTCGCGGAGGCATCAATACGACAGTCATCGTCTCATCGGTCGCTGTTCAGAAAGAAGAGTGAAACATCGTCAGAAGTAATCCAATGATTTATTATTGTAATATTTGTTTTCAGACCTTAGTTCGCTTATTCCTTTTATATGTTGGTGTAACAATAAACAAATATCAAGCGGCAGATCGGTGTTTTGGTTTTTGCGTCCGTTATAACTAAGCGTTTCTGAAATCTTCGAAGAACAGCGTGGGCCCGAGCGTAGCGAGAGCTGGGCATTAACGGTTTATGAGACGTGATTGACAGTGATGTTCGTAGTCGATATCGGCACATACAATGTTATCATGTGCATGCGTTACAGAATATCTGCAACTTCGTTGTCGTTACCTTTTACGTGTCGGATGTTTAAGTTAAATTGCGATATAGTTATCTTGTTTGGCTGACAAGGCTTTCATGAAAGCTTTGTGATCCGTACAGACAGTAAAAACTTTACCTTCCAGTATGAGTCTAAATTGCTTGATAGTCAAATAAACCTCTAGTTTCTCTCTATCAAAGGTGCCCTAGCGACATTGGGTAGGGTTCAGTCGTTTTGAAAAGAGTAAGAGGGGTTGCCGTTCGCCGTGTACTTGTTGTTCTAAAACTCACCTGTTGGCAACGTTCGAGGCGTCCGTCATCAGGGAAAGAAGAGCGTCGATTTTGCGTCTGACTGAGGGCGTCTTTACGTTTAACATGTCCTTAGCAGTTTTGAATGATTTAACAGCTTCGGCTGACAAGTAAAATAAATGGCTGTGTCAACGTAAACAGTCAGTTTACGGTTGCAGAATTGCACCATATTTGAAAATGAAACGGCGATAAAAACTGACGAGACCACAGAAGAGTTGTAATTTTTTAAAGGAATCCGGTAGTAGATAATCCCTTGTGGTTTGTATGTCGATGGAAACTAGTCTGATTCCCTGACTATCGATCAGATGACCGAGGAATTTGTCCAGGTTGACGGTCATCCCATACTGGCGATGTCTCTAAAATGCAGTCTTCACATGTTTCAAATGTTCTATTTCATATGCACTCTAAATAAGTAAGTCGTCAATGTAAGCATAAACGAAGGGGAGAACACGGAACACTTAATCAGTTAAGCGTTGGAATGTCTGGGATGCGTTCATTAGCCCAGAAGGAATCAAACGAATTTGTATAAGACGAGTAGTGTGGTAATAGCTGTTTCGGGAACGTCCGGATGAATGGGAACGTCATGATGGGCTTTTACGAGATCTGTCTTGGAGAAAACTTTATCATCTGGCAAATTTCTGTGCGTATGGTAGTGGGTACCTGTCGGGTACCGTTTGCTTGTTCAAAGCTCAGTAATCCCCACATGGCCATATTTCACTGGAAAACTTTTTAGGGACCAGACGAAGTGGTGAAGACCACAAGCTGCTAGATGGTCGGATGATTATAAGCTTAAGCATTTTATTAAATTCTGTCTCAGTGATATATAGTCGTTGAGGATCGAGGCGTCGAGGCTGTGCGAAAACTGGCAGCCCGGTGATTTTAATGTGGTGAACCACATGATGCTTCAGTTCTGTATCTCCGAAAGTATTTTGGGGAAGATCGGGGAACTGATTCACTAATTTGGTAGTCGGAGCTGCCGGCGTGTGTGTCACCATCAGATTTAAAGACGACGTTCAACTAACTGTACCAGCGACGTACCCTTGGTTGTATGAGTCAATCAATTAAGGAATTAAATAATTGCTCAGTCAATGTACGTTTATATGTGATAAAAGTTATAAGGGGTAGAGGGTGACTCTAAAGAATAGCGGCCCAAACCGAAACGACCTTCGAACAAAAAAGTGACCTTGAGCAAGGAATCAGCTGACTGTATCATTTTCGGAAGTAATCATGGATGTTTCCGATTACTGTTTGGATAACGAACTCATAGCTTTGTCGAAAATTTGCCAGTGCGGAGGAGTTATGCATATACAAATATGAGCAGAGGCCATTGATGGCTTTGTATACAGATGTATTGAGTGCCGAAGGAGGAAATCGGTTCGAGATGGTTTGTCGTTGTTTTTTAGTTTACAGATCCCTTAGGAACTTTTCTCTCAAGGTCTAAGTTACCTTTGGCGAAAAAATTTTAATGATATGTAACTTCTGGGTCCTGAAAAGAGCAGTCACAGCTACAGCTTATGAAAAAGAAAATTCAGAGGTGTCAGCAGTGCAATGGTACAACTACTGCAGAGATGTTTCCTCCTGGAAAATGAACACCCTGACTCAAGTTCTCGGGGGAGTCGGCAGCATAGTCCATATTCATGAGACTGCACTTATAAAAAGGAAATACAACCGCGGGAGATTACAAGCAAACCAGCAGTGGATACTGGGTATCTACGACATGACACCGCGCAAAGGGTATATGGAAGCGATTCCCAATCGCAGTGCAGCAGTATTAGTGCCTATTAATAAGCGTTTGGTGTTGCCGGGGACGACCATTCATACGGATGAATGGAGCGGACACCGTCAATTATCGAATCATGGGTACATTCATCATGTTGTTAATCATACGGACGGTTTCCGGAATCCTTTGGATGGAACCCAAACCAGTTCCAGTGAAACATTTTGGAGTCGTCTAGAAAGACGTATACGAGCGGTTAATGGATCGAGAAATCCCATGATTCACAGTTACCTGGATGAATTTATGTACCGAAACTGGTTTCATATGACTATGAAGACTCCCATGAGAAACTGGGAGGTTTTTTTGCAACATATACGCGAGCGCCATCCTTTGTAACTGTTTATTATGATTGAATTACTTCTATATAAACCGTTTTTTACAATTATGCGTCTTTCTATTTGAGCCTTCTCATTGGCCGAAGTTGTCCCAGTCAAGGTCATTTTTGCGTTAAAAGGACGTTTCGGTTTGGGCCGCAATTCCTTAGAGTCACAGGGGTTAAGCAGAAGTGGATAAATTACAAAAATATTAAAGATTGTTCTATAATAAAAATGTCAAGTGTTGTCTAAAAATTTTGAAAATTAGGAGTACGATTACGATAAGAATGAAGATGTGAAGTGAAGTGGAAAGAATTCAAGTGGTAAAATAAAATAAAAACTAGAAAGAAAATTATTATGACCAAGGTAAAGAAAGGGGTTTGACAAAACGCTTTTGAACACATAATTTAGGTTTCTGTTCATGTATAGCTAAAGCTTCGGCTATGCATAAGTGAAGAAAACGTAAACTTTTGGATCGATTCGATTTTGCCATGTATATAACTTTGAAAGATGAATCACGTGGGGCTAAATGACCAGACTCTAACAGGTGATCACAAATAGACGACTTTGCAGTTCTACGTTCGCCTTTCATTAACCAAACCGGATAGTGTTCAGCTACACGTTTTCGGAGATTACGCTTACAACGTCCAATATAAACAGCTCAACAAGAGCAAGTAAAAGAGTAGATGCACATAGATGTGGACAAAAGCGGTAATCTATCTTTGACGCATTGTCTGATCATATTTCGGCTGGTAAAAACTAGTTGCAGGTCAGCTGCAGGAAAAGTGCGTTTAACACATTTAGATAAACGATTTTCAATCAATTCTGAAATGGTGTCACCTTTGAATGCAAGACTCATAAACAGCTTTTTCTTTGGTACTGTGACTTGTCTCGGGGTGGATTCTTTCTTGATGTTACGTTCAATGAACCTTGTGGGATAACCATTGTTAAGGAGATTTGATCGAAGGTTATCTAGTTCCCTATCGATTGTCTCTGGAGAGCAGATTTTACGAATTCTGGAGCGTAAGGAGTGAATAAGATTTCTCTTTCTCCCTAAAGGTACCCAACTGTTGAAGTTAGTGTACTGCCCAGTGAATGTTGGCTTTCGGTAAATCGACCTTAGAAGCGTTCCATTCTCTCTTCTATCTAGCTTAACATCAAGGAAGTGAAACGAAGAATCCGACTCTTCTTAGATCGTGAAAAGCAAAGATGGGTGAGAACCATTAAATATTCTAAGAAGTTCGGCAGTTGAAGTGTTTTCATCACATACAATGAAGGTATCATCAACATATCTTTTATACATAAACAGACTATCGATGGTTTCCTTTAGTGGGCCATTCTCTAAACTTGCCATGAAAACGTCCGCTAAGAGCGGTCCTAAAGGAGACCCCATGGCGACTCCATCCCTTTGGTTGTAGATGACATCATTAAATCTAAATTGCACATTCAGTGTGCATCTCAGTAGTAGTTGTTTAAGATAATCAGTTGGTAAGCCAATGTTCATGCTATTTGAATCAATATACTCGCATAGATAGCAGATAGTGTCTACTAGTGGTACATTTGTCAACAATGAACAAATATCTAACGAAATCATATGCTTACCAGTCACATTAATTTCATCAACACAACTGACGAAGTCAAAAGTGTCGGAAAGACTATGTTTACATAGATTCAATCTAACTGGTTCCAGAATTTCCGCAAGCCATTTAGCGGTAGAGTGATACGGTGAATTCAGCATATCCAATACAGGTCGCAGAGGGACATCATCTTTGTGCACCTTTAGGAGACCATATAAACGAGGGATAGTTGAACCAGATGGTTTAAGCTGTTCATACATATATGGAGTAATGATGCATTCTTGCTTCAATTTCGTCAAAGTTTTAGATAATTCCTTCTCAATATTATCTGTCTTGTCCTTTTGATCAGGTGATTTTAGAAATTTATCTTTATCACTCAGGATGGTACATCATTTATTGACATAATCATCACGATTAAGAATAACAATACCTGATCCCTGTTGAACAATTCAAATCTTCATTACTTCATTGTTATTACCAGTACCAAAGAACGCAAGGCAGACAACGACAAATGTTATCAAAAGAACACAAAAGACAACTAAATGAATTGCTTAACAACAAAAACATAATACTGATTCGTCCAGACAAGGGATCCGGTATTGTTATTCTTAATCGTGATGATTATGTCAATTAATTATGTACCATCCTGAGTGATGAAGATAAATTTCTAAAATCACCCGATCAAAAGGACAAGACAGATAATATTGAGAAGGAATTATCTAAAACTTTGACGAAATTGAAGCAAGAATGCATCATTACTCCATATATGTATGAACAGCTTAAACCATCTGGTTCAACTATCCCTCGTTTATATGGTCTCCTAAAGGTGCACAAAGATGATGTCCCTCTGCGACCTGTATTGGATATGCTGAATTCGCCGTATCACTCTACCGCTAAATGGCTTGCGGAAATTCTGGAACCAGTTAGATTGAATCTATGTAAACATAGTCTTTCCGACACTTTTGACTTCGTCAGTTGTGTTGATGAAATTAATGTGACTGGTAAGCATATGATTTCGTTAGATATTTGTTCATTGTTCACAAATGTACCACTAGTAGACACTATCTGCTATCTATGCGAGTATATTGATTCAAATAGCATGAACATTGGCTTACCAACTGATTATCTTAAACAACTACTATTGAGATGCACACTGAATGTGCAATTTAGATTTAATGATGTCATCTACAACCAAAGGGATGGAGTCGCCATGGGGTCTCCTTTAGGACCGCTCTTAGCGGACGTTTTCATGGCAAGTTTAGAGAATGGCCCACTAAAGGAAACCATCGATAGTCTGTTTATGTATAAAAGATATGTTGATGATACCTTCATTGTATGTGATGAAAACACTTCAACTGCCGAACTTCTTAGAATATTTAATGGTTCTCACCCATCTTTGCTTTTCACGATCGAAGAAGAGTCGGATTCTTCGTTTCACTTCCTTGATGTTAAGCTAGATAGAAGAGAGAATGGAACGCTTCTAAGGTCGATTTACCGAAAGCCAACATTCACTGGGCAGTACACTAACTTCAACAGTTGGGTACCTTTAGGGAGAAAGAGAAATCTTATTCACTCCTTACGCTCCAGAATTCGTAAAATCTGCTCTCCAGAGACAATCGATAGGGAACTAGATAACCTTCGATCAAATCTCCTTAACAATGGTTATCCCACAAGGTTCATTGAACGTAACATCAAGAAAGAATCCACCCCGAGACAAGTCACAGTACCAAAGAAAAAGCTGTTTATGAGTCTTGCATTCAAAGGTGACACCATTTCAGAATTGATTGAAAATCGTTTATCTAAATGTGTTAAACGCACTTTTCCTGCAGCTGACCTGCAACTAGTTTTTACCAGCCGAAATATGATCAGACAATGCGTCAAAGATAGATTACCGCTTTTGTCCACATCTATGTGCATCTACTCTTTTACTTGCTCTTGTTGAGCTGTTTATATTGGACGTTGTAAGCGTAATCTCCGAAAACGTGTAGCTGAACACTATCCGGTTTGGTTAATGAAAGGCGAACGTAGAACTGCAAAGTCGTCTATTTGTGATCACCTGTTAGAGTCTGGTCATTTAGCCCCACGTGATTCATCTTTCAAAGTTATATACATGGCAAAATCGAATCGATCCAAAAGTTTACGTTTTCTTCACTTATGCATAGCCGAAGCTTTAGCTATACATGAACAGAAACCTAAATTATGTGTTCAAAAGCGTTTTGTCAAACCCCTTTCTTTACCTTGGTCATAATAATTTTCTTTCTAGTTTTTATTTTATTTTACCACTTGAATTCTTTCCACTTCACTTCACATCTTCATTCTTATCGTAATCGTACTCCTAATTTTCAAAATTTTTAGACAACACTTGACATTTTTATTATAGAACAATCTTTAATATTTTTGTAATTTATCCACTTTAACTCTACCCCTTATATCTTTTATCACATAAATACGTACATTGACTGAGCAATTATTTAGTGCTATTTTTGTTATAAAACAATCTTTAATGTGTTTTAATTTAGGAATGATTGGATCCACCATTAATTTGTTGTGGTGCAAGTAATCGGTCCTCAACATGGTTGGTGGGACGTCTGCAACGACAAAGGACTGGCTATAGGTACTCCTGAAGCCAAAATCCCAAGTCACACGCTTGCGTTCATACGTAGCAATACTGGACTTGTTAGTAGCACGCGGGGTGACAGTGGGGTCAGGGTGTTAGTGCTCTTGCGTGAACGGAGGGAGAACACTGACTTCTGCTCATGTGACGGCTAAGAATATAGTCCCGGTATTCTGATCTGCTACATAAAACAAACGACTGTGGCTGGAGATTACCGACGGCAGAATTTGTCACAAATTCGGATATATCCCTTGTTTTGCCTGAAAGTTACACGGAGGGCGGCCACCCCGTGCATTGCTTCCGTGAACACGGTGGTGCCAATAAAAAGTAACACGATCTCTGGACATGGTAGATAAACTGTGACATCGGTTAGCTGGGCTTCTAGAACACCTCGTCAGTGTGAGTGTAGTTAGTTTCGCTAACTGACACAGTAAGAAATCAACCTTATTTTCTAAAGTCTTTATGCGGTACTGAACTTCCACTTTGTGGTTGGTGCAAGCGACGGTTTGAGTTGTTAACCTCATGCACATGCGATCAACGATCACATTGAGTTAATCTGTATTAATGCCGTCGTCTCCAAATGTAAGGACTTGCTGGACATTAGCAGGCAGTCGTCGTAGCCAGATTTGATAAGGGAGTCATTTGCGATTAATAGTGTTCTCCGACCTGGTTGGTTTAGTTGCGGAGCTTTCATCGTCTTTCTGGACGACATCTTTAGCGCGGTATTTAGGATAAAGCTCCGCAACTAAACCAACCAGCTCAGAGAACACTATTAATTGCAAATCATCCACCTGAGTTACAAATCTTTTCTATTATTTCAAAGGAGTCATCAATCAATATTCTTATCTGCCACAAGGCTTTGAGTATATCTCATGAGATGGGACGGTGTCTCATTTCCTAACTCGACATTACTTAGCAAGCGGGCCAGTGTTTGCCTATCAAAGAGCGATGTGTATCACAGTACTTCCCCTTTCAATTAATAATAGGGGACTTCAATGTTG